TGTTTTTGTTTTTGTTTTTTTAAATTCTTTTCCAATTTCATGGGTTGGTTATGCATTGGTTTTTATTTGATTTTATTATTTATATTTTTTGTTTTTTTTACCTTTTAAAATTCAATTTCAATTCCATTTAGTTTTGCATAAATGTAAAGATTTTTTTTCCATCATCATTTAATAGTGTTTAATTATACTAAAGGATAGTAAAATTTTAAAAGTTTTGCAACCTCTTTATCCTTCTATATAAAAAGACTTTCTTCACTCATTTTCAACAATATTGTGAGCTTTATTTTTCTTTTTCTTATTCTTTGAGGATGAGTCAGGGCCTCGTCGAAGGTGCAGTTGATGGACAATAGGTATTCTTTTTTCCCCATTTTTATCTCCCACAATATTTTGATTTCTTTCTATTCTTTTCCATGGGTTATGGGTTGGTTTAGATTTGATTTTTTTTATTATTTTTCCTTTTTTTTTCTTTTTGCCTGTTGAAATCCTGTTTTAATTTTGTAGATTTTCTTTTGATATTTTTTTTACCTTTTAAAATTCTATTTCAATTCCACTTAATTTTGCATAAATGTCAAGAATGTAAAGAGTTTTTTCCATCTTCATTTAATAGTGTTTAATTATATTAAAAGGTGATAGAATTTTAAAAGTTTTGCAATCTTTTTATCATTCTATATAAAAAAACTCTCTTCACTCATTTTCAACAACATTGGGAGCTTTATTTTTTCTTCTCACTCTTTAAGGATGAGTCAGGATCTAAAGATGAGGTTGAAGGGCGTAGTTGATGGACAACATGTATTCTTTTTTCCCATTTTTTATCTCTCACAATATTTTGATTTCTTTTTATTTTTTACAATATAACCCTTCATTTTTTTTAGTAATACTAAATATGTCTATAACTTATGCGTAGGTTTTGTTTTTATTCTTTTTTTTTTGGTTGCCTTTTGAAATTCTTTTCCAATTTTATAGGTGGGTTATGGGTTGGTTTTTATTTGATTTTTTTATTTTTTTATTTTTTTTTTCTTTTTGCCTTTTGAAATCCTGTTTTAATTTTGTAGGTTTTGTTTTTATTTTTTTTTACCTTTTAAAATTCTATTTCAATTCCACTTAATTTTACATAAATGTTAAGGATGTAAAGAGTTTTTTTCATCGTCATTTAATAGTGTTTGATTATATAATATTAAAAGGTGGTAGAATTTTATTAGTTTTGCAACCTCTTTCTTTTTTATTATGTAAAAAGACTTTCTTCACTTATTTTCAATAATATTGTGAGGTTTTTTTCTTCTTATTATTATTTTCTTTTTCCCCTATTTTTCCTCTCTACCAATATTTTGATTTTTAAGATTCAGTGTATAAGATCGCATTCCAATTTTTCAGAGCATTATTGTTAACATCCTTGAATATTGGTGAGAGGTAAATATATATGTAATTCAATCTTTCTTCTTGTTTATTAATTTTTGTATTTTTAAGTTTTATTAATCAGTATATCTATATATATAATATATTTATATTAGTACGGATATAGAATAATTTTTTTAGCAATATTACCCTTCCATTTTTATTCAATATCATATATGCCCTTAATTTATGGGTAGGTTTTGTTTTGATTTCTTTTTGTTATATTTTTTTCTTTCACCGTTTGAAATTCTATTTCAATTTCGTGGGTTCGTTTTGATTTTCTTATTTTTTTTAATTCATTTAAAAAATTGATAATAAAATTTCAAAATTTTAGAATTTTGATAGTCTTATAATTTTACAACATTCTTTCAATTATACTACTATACAAAAATTCTCTCTCTCTTATTTATTTATTTATTTTTTAAATTTGTTTTAGTGTTATTTTTTTATTGATTAGTAATAATAATGTTTCTTCTTCTAACTTGATATACACAATCATCTTAATTGCATAAAGAATTTAGATTTCTTTCTTTAATAAAATTTATCATAAATATCAAGTCAACTTCACACCTCTACATAAACAATATTAAATATCTCAATTGAAAAATAAAATAAATATAAAACTTATGTGTTAATTTCTCTTCACATTCTTACCTCCAAAATTTTTAATTCTAAATCTTTTATATATATAATATTTTAATTATAAGAATTCAAGAAAAAAATAGATTAAAACTACAAAAGATTATATAATATATATATATATTTTCAATAACGGCGACATATTAAAACTACAAACTAAATTTTGTCATCTTCCTTCCATATAATTTATCTTTCTTTTATTGTTTTTATATATAAATTTTATTTGAATTTTGCAAAGTCTAAATAAGTCGACAATTTGAAAATTGATTGTCTAGCTTACATTTTTTCTTTAACTTTACTTCATATGTATTATGAATTTCAAGCTATTTTGAATATAATAGTGTGTGTATATATATATAATACCTAAAAATATAACGTGCACGTGCTAAAATACTAGTTGATGAAAAAATGGGTATTTCTTCCAGCGGAGAGATTTTAATTTATAGTCTTAATAATTATTGAAAGCTTATCTAAAATTTTTTATTCATGAAACATTTGAATGCATAGCCTTTAATTGAAAATGAGATTGGAATAAATTTATAAAGTATAATTAATTTAAGTTGCTTTTTAACATGAAGGGACACAAAATTAGAAAACATAGAGAATAATGTGAGTTATTATCTTAATTTTTTAAATGATAATATCTTTTTGCTATATCATTGGCTCATTTGACAACTTTACAACAAATGAAATCAATATAAAGTTTTATTCTAATTAAATGATTGGTTATGTATAATGATAGAAATATCTTCAAAAAACAAAAAAAAAGGTCACTTCTTAATTCATTTTTAATATGTGAACTTCTAATGTTAATTATAACGGTAGTTACAACTTTATAAGTGAGATTGAAATATTGAAACATTAGGTTAAATTTTTGTAATATTAGGTTAACTTATTTGAAAAGGTACTCTTTCGTAAATTTTCTGTTTTTTCAAAATTAAAAGTCCGATTTAATTTCAATCGATCATAGTTCAATTGGTTAAGTCATATATCATTGAACAAAAGGTTGAAGATTTGAATCTCTACCTTCACATGTTAAAGAAAAAAAATGATTTAAGCCTTATGGGCTATTTTTTATTATTGGGAGTTGATGAAAAGTTCTTTATTTTTCATTCTTTATAATTAAGAGGAACTTTCAATTTTGCATCTCCGAATTTACTTCGCATGTAGCTAATTTCTTTTTTAGGTACATTGTTAATTTTCTTATAAGAACCAAACTAACCAAAGTTATTACATTTAGTGCTCGTACATTTCTTATATGCTAACTAGAACATATATTGTGAAATAAAATAAAATAAATACCACAAATGTAATATAAACTTGACATATTTATGTTAAAATTGTCATAAATATCAAAATTTTTATAGTGGTACAGAAGAAAAATGAATGCAGAAATTCGAATGAAAATCTTAAATCAATTGAACTTTAACTTTCAAGTCATCACTAATAACTTATTCTTACAATTATATATTCGAACTCTCGACCAAATAAAGAAGATTAGAAACGATCTAATTGAACTACACTCAATTTTTATCAGTTATTGTTCTTGATTGAGATTGCATAGGTATCAACAAAGGCTTTCTTTAGATGGTGTACAAAAAGATTATTTATTTTGGACCATACTTATTTATCTTAGCAATAAAGTTGTCTATAATTACATTAAAGAACTCGAAAGAAAAATGAGAGTGAAAAGCATCAAAATGCTATTGTAAAGGAAATCCAATTCAAGTTCACACATTTAGCTAGTGAATTATTGCCAACCCAAAAGCACTCTTTTTTAGCCCTAAAGAACACAATTATTCTTTAGGAAAAAGAAAAAAAACAATTTTTTTTTAAATATAACTCTCAAGCCCATGACCATTGATCATAACTCTCTCTCTCCCCTGACTCTCTCTCTCTCTCTCTCCTCTTCCTCTCTGTTTCATTCTTGTGCTGCTCATGGCAAAACCAGAACCCAAGGAAGTAGGAGAGACCTCACCATCCTTGAACTATAAGGTAAAAAATAAAAACTAAAAAGTCAAAGTTTTTAAGTTATTTCTTCTTCTTTTGGGGAAAATTTTGAGTTTGTTCTTGGTTTGGTTTGATAATCTTTCTTATTTTCTGCTAAACTTTTGTAGACATGGGTGTTGAGAGTCTCAATTCACTGTGAAGGTTGNTTCAATCCACTGTTTGTGTTGTTTCTTTCGCTCAAAACCTGGATTTTCTCATCTGGGTGTTTTTTAGTTTCTCTCTTACACGGTTTTTTCCCCTTCAAATTTTGCTTCATTTCTTCAGATTTTGATTATTGTTGTGTTTACAAATCCCAACTTTCTCTCATTTTCTCTTCTGGGTGTTGTTTTCTCTGTTTCATGACTTATTTTCTCAAATTTTGCTTCATTTCTTCAGATTTTGATTATTGTTGTGTTTAAAAATCTAAACTCTCTCATTTTTTCTTCTGGGTGTTGTTGTGTTTCCTCTTTTTCATGACTCATGTTCTCAAATTTTGCTTCATTTCTTTGGACTTTGATGATTGGTTTTGTTTGAAATCCAAAATTTCTCTCATTTTCTCATCTGGGTGATGTTTATTTTCTTTCTTACATGGTTATTTTTCTTTATTTTGCTTCATATCTTCAGATTTTGATCATTTTGTGTTTAAAATCCAAAATTTCTCTCATTTTCTCATCTGGGTGTTGTTGTTTTCTCTATTTCGTGACTTCTTTTATCAAATTTTGCTTCATTTCTTTAGATTTTGATCCTTGGTTTTGCTTAAAATCCAAACTTTCTCTCATATTCTCATATGGGTGTTGTTTATTTTCTTTCTAACATGATTCTTTCTTCAGATTTGGCCTTATTTCCTTATATATATATATATATATTTTTATCACTGGTTGTGTTCAAAATCCAAAATTTATCTCATTTTCTCATTTGGGTGTTGTTTGTTTTCTCCCTAAACATCACTTCTTTCTTCATTTTTGCTTCATTTCTTTAGATTTTGATATTTTTTTGGTTCAAATCCAAAATTTTCCACATCTTTGCCACCTGGGTATTGTTAATTTTTCCCTCCAACATGACTTCTTTCTTCTAAATTTGCTCAATTTCTTCAAATTTTAATAATTTATTTCCTTCAAATCCAAAATTTCTCTCATTTTCTCATCTGGGTATTCTTTATCTTACAGTAACATAATTTTCTTATAAAATTCCCTTCATTTCTTTAGATTTAGTCGTTGGGTTCCTTCAAATCCAAAATTTCTCACAATTTCTCATCTGGGTGCTCCTCATTTCTCTGTAAACAACGTCTTCTTCTTCAAATCCCTCCAATTTCTCAAAATTTTCTCTCAAATCTTCTCCAAAATTTCAGGAGTTCACGCGGTAGAAATCGATCGCAAGCAGCAAAAAGTTACAGTAACAACAATCACAGACGCAGAAACACTGATTAAAAAGTTGGTAAAGGCCGGGAAGCACGCAGAGCCATGGCCGGAAAAAAAACCCAACTCAAAAAACTTCGTAGAAATACAAATCCCGAAGGAAATCCTCGCCGGCGAAACCAGCGCCGCCGTACAAGACGGCGAAAGTAAAAAGCAGAGGGCTGAAACAGAGGCGGCGAAAGAAGTGAATGACCCACCAAAAAATGAAGAGAAAGGTGAAATTAGTGGAAATGCCCAAGTAGCTGAAATGATTAACGACGGCGGGGATGCGGCCGAGAAAATCGCCGGCGCCGGCGTGGGACGAGTCGTGAAGTCTCCGCCGGAAGGCGGCGGTGAAAAGTGCACCGCCGGCGAGGCTCAGCCCGGCGGACCGAGTGGTGCAGTCGCTGTCGAGTCAAGCGGCGGCGAAGGGAGGAGAAAGAAGAAGAAAGGGCAGAAGAAAGGGAAGAGCGTCGGAGGAGGCGGTGGCGCCGCGGCCGGTAATGAAGTGGGGCCACAAAGTGTTCCTGCACCTGCAAGCACTGGATCAGCCACTCCTCCTGATCATCATGATCAAATCCCACCACTCAATCACGGCCCTCCATGCCATCAGCCGTACCATTATCCGGTCCACATGCCCGTATCACAACCAGCATACGTGGCAAGTTACAATACGGCACACCCGAGTAGTAGCTATGGCCCGTACTATGTCACACCCTCGCCATTTTCGTATGCGTACGTACATTCGACTGTATCAAGAGATATCTCATCATCATATTCGTCGTCACCACCACTGCCACCAGTAGAACAATCGAACTCTCCATCATCGAGTCCGTTCGACTTCTTTAGCGACGAGAATCCGAGTGGATGCTCGATCATGTGACGAAGAAAATTGTGCTGATTCGGACAGTTTTGGACACTAAGAGCATACCACAATTGTACAACTTGTATCAGTATGTGGGGGGTAGAATTGTAATATACATGTATATGAAGGGATTATGTATGTTGGTAAAAAAATGAAAGAAAAAAAGAAAAACTTTGTGGGTTTTTGTGCTTGCTTTATTTAGTGTACTTTTACTCTTTCAAAGTTTTTAGTTTTTCTTTTTTTAAAGTAATTTGTCTTGTAATGCTTAGATGTACTTTTTTTTTAGTACAATGCTTAGATGTACTTTAGTGTTTAGCTTTTTGGTCAAATTATAAATATAGTTTCTCAATTTGTATCCATTTTGTCTATTTAATCAAGAAATTTTGAATCATATTACAAATTATTTTTATCCGAAAGTAATAATTTAATCAATCAACTTTAGTTCGTAACAATTTAGTTTTTACACTTTTAAAATAGAAATAATTTAATTCCCGAAGTTTGTGTAATAATTTAGCCTTCGTAATTTAAACCACAATGACTGAATTACTATAAACTAAAAATTTAGAAACTAAATTGTTACAAAATTGAAAATTCAATGACCCTTTTTTTTTAAATTAAAAGAAAAGTAGTTTGAAATCTATTTCATAAGTTTATAATTAGTTTTAAAATTTTGTATTTTTCATTTTCTAAAATTTTCAAGGGCTTAATTTAGAAAAAAAAAAAAGAGAACAAAACCCAAAATTGTCACACAAAAAAATATTAGCATGCGAAGTGAGAATTTGAATTCATGATTATTGGACTTGAAATAAACTTTTTAACCGGTTGAACCATGAAATAAATTTCTTAACCAGTTGAATTATGTTCAAGTTTGCTGATAAATTAAATAGTTAATAATTAAAAAAAACTGCATCATAAAATTATTGAAATTATCAATGGAATAGTTACAAGTAAAATATCTAAAATTCATTCTCCAATGTTTTACTTCTCTCAACATATTAATGATAAGGATAAAATTGACACAACGTAGAGGTACAAGGATCTAAATAACCTAATTTAGGAGACTATTTGATTCGATATTGAGAACCATACTCTTTGGTAAGAACTTCTAAGACAACGAATAGGAGTTAGGCTTGTTTGGCACGAACCCTCTCCTCATCTCATAGCTTGAAATCTTACTATTTCTTGTTCGAAATTACTACTTAATATTTATATTCTAGTTTGATCCTTAAACTTTCATACCTATTTCATTTCAATTTTTATCCTTTTGATTTTTGAACTTTTGTCATACTCATTTTGATTTTTATCATTAAATTAGATATCACAAATTCTCTTAACCTTTTTTTTTTGTTAAGTTCCACAATTACATCGATTAAGAAATTATCTACAAATGAGATATATATGATTAAAATTTTATTTTTAAGTTCTTACACTTTAATTCATTTTCATTTCAACACTTTCTGTTTTTCTATTTTTATTTCTAAACTTTCATAAATATCTTTTTTTGTCTGTCAAATGACATATATATCTTTTCTTCTCTTGAGGGTGAAGGTTCAAATCTCTGTATTCTATATTTGTTGTATATATCCCTTTTTGTCTAAACAACCTCATAGTTTTTCTTTTCTTTTTTCCGAAGTTCCACAATTGCATTCTCTACTAAGAAATTAACTAAATTTCAAAGACTTAACTCCACATCTCCTACCAACATATGCTTAGCTCAGTGTTTAAGATACCTTGCTCTCTTCTAGAGGTCGGAGGTTTAATCTCTCATTCCTATATTTGATGTATTAAAAAAATACTCCAAAGTCTCTTTTTTTAATGGCAATTTTTTCCCTCTTTCTCCTTAGGCTTACTATTCATCACTTTTTTTTCTCTCTTTTGCCCCAAATGTAATAATTGAAGTCATAGACTTTAGCTTTTATGAGAGGCTTAGGTTGTATTTGGTGTCTCTTTGTCCCTCCCCAATAGAGCTTTCTTCCCTCATTCCTAAATGCTTGTGATGCATTTGTTTGTGTGAAAGTTCCCTTTTAAAAAAGATAAGTTGGGGAGTTGGGATAAGAATGACTTCTTTGTCTAACAACATTTGCTTTACCTTACCTTGTCAATTATTGCTTTTTTTGGGAAATGGGTTTTTCATATTTTAGTTAATTTTTAGGTTAATTTTTAAACTTAGTTTTCAAAATTTTTTAATAGGCTTATTTAGTGGACCTTTTTTAAATAATATAAAATTAAAATTTTATTTGCTTATTCTCGTGAAATTTATTTTAAAAATAATGTTTGAAAAATGGTAAGTCTTCGAGAGACAACTTATGCCACTTTATTATTTTTAATTTGACTTTTCTTCTCAAGAAAATCCAAGCATGTAGTATTTAAAGGACTCCAGCCATGTTTATTGGGCTTAGTCTCTCAATATCAACCCATTGTGGGCTATCAATTTTGCAGCCCGTATGCAATATAAAATTTAAGGTTGATGTACGTTGATATTGTCAATATTTTCATATATTATCGACATATTGTCGATATTTTCATATATTATCGATATATTGTTGATAGTTTCTTGATTTTTCGAAATATTGAGATATCGTTGACAATGAGGAGAAATTAAGTTTTCTCTTATTTGATGTGTGGAGCACTTTGATACGTCAACACGTGGGCGATCCAACAACTTTCAAAATATTGGTTGAGACAGAATTGAAATTCAAATCTCGAAATCTAAATTTGTAAAATTTTGAGCACAACATTTGTCATTATTAAATTGAGGATAATTTTCCTATATATACCATACAATAAGTTTTTTTAAATATGGTTAATTTTGAAATTTATTTTCAAAATAAGACTACCTCCCAATTTATTCTAAAAATTAGAATTAATAATTTTTTATTTTAGAATAGAAGATATATTTTAATTAATAATTTGTTTAAAAAGAAAAAAAATTGCAATATATTATTCATTGGCTAAAAAAATGGCATTATGCTAGGTGGCGGTTAAAAAAGGCCACGGTTAATATATGATACAATGTAAAATTTCTAGTCGTACTACGAAAGTTTTTCAAATTAAAAAAACTTTTATATAAATACGTCCATTTTTATATATTAAAAAAATAGTGAGATATTCAAACTCTAATTTTGTAAAAATAATTAAGATTCTTCTTAAAACTTTCAAATGATGCAACCAAATTATTTACAATTTACACGTATAGCTTCCTCGGTTTAATTGTTACCGATAATTTCAAAGTATTTTTTTTTTCTATCAATTTATATTTTATCACTATATATTGATAATAATTTTTCATTGATATCTTTTTTTCCTCTCTAATCATTAAATTTTCGAGATTGGATTACTTTTACTTTATAAAATTTTTAATTTAAATGATTAATTGTTAACATGCAATTTTTTTCCCCTTTAACTTTACAAATCATAATGTAATTTTAAATATAATAGCGAGAAAGAAACCAAACCCCTCTAAAACAAAAATTTTGTGGGGCTTAGGGTTTATTGTACGTACCTCAACAAATTGTTATGCTTCAGCCAAATTCCTTGATGTTGGATACCCCCTCTTCACGCAGAGCTCCAAGCAATTAAGGTGGCCCTTTGTTTCGCTATTAGAATGAAATTAAAGCGGGTGTTGCCCCTCTCAGATTGTGCAAATAGAAATAAAGTTGCAATTTGGTAAACAAAATTAAATAAACTAAAATTTAGTTATTCAACTTTAGTTTATAATGATTTGGTCCTTTTAGTCTAAATGAAAAATCTTATTAAAATTAAGTATTAAATTTTATTATATAACAACGGATGGATGGAGTGGAGGAACTCTCACGCGGATTCTAGAACCATCCATAGAGGATTCTTAATCCCTAAGGAACAGTCAGCAGGTTTTTGTACCATGGCCGTTCGTTTCAATTCAACCGACTCTCTAGCCGCGTTCTTCTCTCCTATAAATCCCAAATCTTCCATCAATCGATTATAACGCCCACCAATTCCATTCCATTTCCCACACAAAGCACATCAGAATTTCCTTCCATTTCCAAATCCTAAACTCCCATCCTAAGTTTCTCTCGATTTTGGCTATGGCTGAACCCGATCCTTCCGTGCAGCAACTCGAAATGGTATAGTATCATCCTTCCTCTTCGCATTTCTCTTTTTCGAATTTATTTCTCTTGTTTTATGATCGGAATTTGAAATTTCTCCATCCCTAAATCGTAACCTGATCGGATTTCTCGATTCTTGTGCGAAATCTGCTTTTTCTGAAGCTATGAAGGTTGATTCGTTGATATTTTTGGTTGAATTTTTGTTTCTGAATGTTGGAATTGGTGTTTAGGCGGCTAGGGCAGAGGAGGAGAGGCTGAAGTACCTAGCGTTCGTTCAAACGGCGGCGTTTTTCGCGACGGCGTGCTTCTTTAACGTTTATGGCTACGCCAAGGACCGGTCCGGTCCGCTGAAGCCCGGCGTCGAGACGGTCGAGGGCACCGTGAAGTCCGTTGTCGGACCGCTGTACAATAAGTTCCACGGCGTTCCGATTGAGGTTCTTAAGTTCGTCGATCGCAAGGTTGGTTTCTTACTTCGCTTTCGTTCTTACATAGCTGCTACTGTTCTTGATTTTTCATATGGCTATATGTACGACAATGATTTGAATTTGTTATCTGTATGATCTTCGTACAAATTTCTCTTGCATTTCTTCTTGGATAGATATACCAAATGGTTCTATGATAAAACATGATCAATTATTTACGTTTCAATTCCATTTTCTCCCTCCTTAACTTTCAAGATATTTGTCCTTAATAAAAAAAGTCTCTTACTTTTACAATGACTTTAATAGTCTTTTATTCCATTTTGAGGCAGTATTATGGGACAAGAAATGGGTATTTTAGTAGTTAAAGGACTATTTTAAAAGTTTAGACCAATGGTTTGTTGATTGGTTGGTTTTTTTATTTTTTTAAAGTTCAGGATCATTTTTAAGTTTGTGAACAAAATGGTTGAAGATTAGGGCCAAAATGGTTGTTTTCTAAAGATCCCAAGAACCAAAAAACGCTGAGCATTAAGAGTTGAATTCTCTTATAACACCAAGAAATTTAACGGGAAAATCATTTTGTTTCGATTGTAAATGTGCAGGTAGATGAGTCAGTGACCAAGATTGATCGCCATGTTCCTCCAACCGTCAAGCAAGCCTCCTCGCAGGCTGTGTCCGCAGCACAGCAAGCGCCTGAGGTTGCCCGATCTGTAGCCTCCGAGGTCCGACGCTCCGGCCTCAAAGACTCCCTCTCTGGGATTGTGAAATCTGTGTATGCCAAGTACGAGCCCACTGCGAAGCAACTCTACTTCGAATACGAGCCTAAGGCTGAGCAATGCGCGGCTTTGGCATGGCACAAGCTCAACCAGCTCCCCGTCTTCCCCCACGTTGCGCAGGCCATCTTGCCAACAGCAGCGTACTGCACCGAGAAATACAACGAGACTGTGCGCACCACAGCCGAGAAGGGCTACAAGGTCTCTTCATACCTTCCATTGGTGCCAACCGAGAGGATTGCCAAAGTGTTCAGCAAGGACAGAGTTGAGGTGGAGCCATTGGTGAGTTGAGAGGCCTTGGATTTCTTCTTGGCTTCTTATATCTTATGTAATAGGAAACGTAATAGATCTTTGTTCTACTGAATGATTTAACTGTTATGTTTGAGAAATTATTCAGTGTGGCAGTCAGAATTTATACTTGTTTGTATGTTGGTATGTTGTAGTTTTTCTGAGGCTTTGTTCCTTTGGCATCAGAAATAGCTATGGCATTTACTTTTGAGGGGTTTTGATGAATATGAACTATATAGTTACGATATTATACGAGAAAAACAAGGTTTAAATTTTGTTGTCTTCTTTTGGCATTTACTTTTGGCCTTTGGGTTTGTTCTTGGTTTTCTTATTAGTTTCTTTTCGAGAAAGAACTCTGTTATGAATCTTGGTTGGATGTGAATGATAAGTATTTTCAATTTTCATTTACTTGTAGTGGTTTATTCTTTTATGACAAATAGAAGAAAGTATTTCGATCCTTGATTTGAATTGAGAAGAAGGGAATTTGCAGTTGTCTGCCTAACCGTGCAGGTGTGCTGCTAGAATGATACAGAATATTGTATCGGCCCTAATGATTGATAAGTTTACAAATTCAGGACAAATGGGAAGTGTGCTAACTTAAAACTATTGACTGAAAAATGATATAAAATGTTGTACCGACTCTCTCTCTTTTATTATTGGTAACTTTATAAATTCAAGACGAATGGGAAGTGTGTTAGCTTGAAGTTGAACTATTGACTTTGGATTTCTAATGGTATGAGAAAAAAGATCACCATTTTTAGTACCGGACAATGGGACGTAGATCGAACTTACAATCTCTTGGCCGAACGAATGTTCAGTTTTATCTTTTGTGATTTAATATTTTTTAATAAAGATAGCTAATAATAAGTTTATATGTCATGATTTTATATGAGTGGGCAAGAAAGTGGTAACTTTTTTTTTCCTTAACAATAGAAACAATTTAAAGTCGACTTTAACTTGCTAGCTTGTCAATTTTAGTAAATGACGTGGCAATGATTTGGAAAATTAGAGTTTTGGTAAATTTAAAATAACAGTAGTTAAATTAAAAAAATTAAAAAAAAAAGGAAAAAAGAATGAAGGTTAACGAAACTTCTCCTCCGCCACTTTTTCGATGGAACCCCACCTCTGCCTCCACCGTATACTTCGCCTTAAACAAGCACACACGAAAAAACACACACACATTGGAAGCCCTAATTTCTTAGCTCTTACAAACTAAATTCGAGTTTTAAACTTGGAGCTTGAAGACAGATTCTAAATCGGGAGGATTTAAGAACTCTGACATAATTAGTTTGATAATAGAAATCTGCGCTTCCTCGCGCCGGCGGAGAACTTAGTTTCTCTGGTATTTTCGCTTCCTTCACCGGCGGCGTTGTCGAACACGATTTATCGTCGCCGTCGTCGTGTTTCGCCCTCGATTTCGTCTTTATTGGGAACGACGCTCTCGCCAGCAACCTGGCCATTACCCATTTTTTCCCTTCCGATTCCAAGTCGCCGTCCATTTGGGACTTTTTCGATAGCCCCATTTGAAATCCAAACATAGGAGAAAAGAAAAATCCCACAAAAGGGGGGAAGGGAAGAGAAAATCGTGGCAAATAAAAAGTGGAGTGAAAATTAAAAAAAAAAAATCTAATTGAAGCGCTGGGAATAAAGAAATAGAGTTTTTTTTTTTAGAATTAGAAGAATAAACCAACAGAGAGAAAGGGGACTTTGTGGGAAGATGAAGAGAGCGAGAGAGACACGATGGAAGGAGATAGCCTGGCTTGGTGGGAAGAGCTGCAACCGAAAAAATAAAGAAGAAGAGCTCCGATTTTTTCCTTTTTTTTAATTCAACTCCTGTCATTTTAAATTTATCAAAACCCTAATTTTCCAAATCATTTGCCACGTAATTTACTAAGATTGACACGCTAGCAAGTCATGTCAGCATTTAACAGCTTAGTTAAGGTCAACTAACGGTTATTAATTTTGGGACCATTTAGAACAATTTTTCAAATTCTAGAGATGAAAAATGTTTCTTTTAAAATTTTAGGAATCAAATAGATACTTAACTCAAACTTCAGAGATCAAAAATGTCTATTTTAAAATTTGAGAGACCAAATAGACACCTAATTCAAACATCAAGGACCAAAAGTGTATTTTTCCCTTAATTATACTATGTAAGCTTGTCATTCGTCAATTTTAATACTTTCAAGGAGTAACTAAAAATTATTTTTAAACTTAGTTCAGCGATAACGGACGCCTACTATTTGACCAAGAGATCATGAGTTCAAATCTTCCAATTTCGTATAGTTGACCAAGAGAGGTTTTAATCTATGCCATATCAAGACAATTTTCTATGTTCATGAACCAAAAAGTTAAACTTCTAGCAAATTTATTTTCCACTTAATGTTGCATCTAGAAACATTTTGTGGCATATCTCAGTTTTTCATCATTATAATTTTGGTAAATTTTTACTGATTCTCTCACAAATTCTTTGGGAAATTGACTTAAATGACCTTCAAAAGTTTATGGAATGCTCAAATGACCCACCTTCTCAAAATGTGCCCAAATGACCCAATTGAATATTTAATTAAATTTAAAAGGAAGCGTAATTACAGTACTACCCCTTAGTTCAAAAATCAAACTATTTGTTCTCCTTTCGCTTCCCCTTTTTCTTGGCAATTCCTGTTGAAACAAAGTGAAAGAAATTGATTTAATCATTAAGGTAAGTTTCGTTTCTTTTAATTTTTCCATTGCTCCGTCGATTTGAATGGTTAGGGCTTCGTTTTTTGTGTGTTGAGGAGTTGAATGGTCTTTTTCCGTCGATTCTGTTTTCATATGTGTAGATGAACGAATACATGAATGTTAATGCATCTATTAGGTATTTTTCCGTCGATTTCGTTGTCTGATTTTACTTTTTTTTTTCGTTTCATGTTATTTGTTGATTTTTCCTTTGTTATTGTTCTGTTGAAGTTGAGGTCTATGAGATGTTACGTTGATAGTAGTTCAGTTGTGTGGCGGGAGGTTGAAGAAGAAGAAGGAACGTCACTCTTGTTAATCCTCTGTTATTTTTCTCGGGTCGACCTTGGACGAGGTTCAGCCCGAGGTATTTGAAGAGGCTAAACCTCGAGGTTAAGCCCGAGGTATTCCGAAGGTTCAAACTCTTCCGAATACCTTGGGCTCAACCTCGCCCGAGGTCGAACCCAAGAAAAATAACAGAGAGCACAAACTATCGAGCAACTTTAAATTTCAATCCTTGCTCGAGGTTTCTAAGCATTTGGAAAAGTCCTCGATCTCAACCTCGGGCGAGACTGCACCCGGGAAATTTTTCAGAGGCCTACTAGAACCTCGAGCAAGGTTTGAAATTTCTTCTAAACATCGCTCGAGGTTGAGTGTCTTTCAATTACCTCGGGCTCAACCTCGCTCGAGGTCATTCCCGAGAATTTTGACAGAAACTTAACAAACCTTGAGCGAAAGAACAAATTTCTTCAACCTCGCTCGAGGTCCATCTCACTTCGCG